TAATGCTATTAGTTTTTTATATTGTTAATAATATTTCAAATATTTAGTTATTATAATCATTTTAAAATTAAATTTAGTTTTAGACAATAATTTATCTAATTAAATTTTTAAAAATGGGTTAATTTGAATTTGGACTTTAATAATAATTTGATTTATATTATATGCGTTGATATTTTTAACTATATATATTTGATAATAGAATTTTTATACTTATATAACTTGTGATTTTATAATTTGAATTAGAAATTCATGAGTTTCAACAACAATGTTTTTCACATTAAAGTAAAATAATAGTTAGATTGCAAAATTTAAAAATAAAATTCGTATAAAGAAGAAAACTAGATATTTTTGTTACGAAAGAAAAGCATACTTATGAAGAAAAGTAATTAATTATAGTGATGATGAAATTTCAAAAGATTAATGATAGTGTTTATTTATTGCACAATTGCATTATAGATAAACTTTTAGATGTTGTTATCTTGTTAATGAATGTTTTAAATGTTCTTAGATGTTGATGAATATTTATATATGATGATATTTTATATTTGTGACTTAATTTTATTCATATTTATGTCTTTTATTAATAATTTCATTAGTTTATTTTTATATTTTTATAAAAAAAAATGATAAATATAAAAAATAGTATTTTTTTAAACGGGCCAAAAGCCTGCGGGTCGGCCCTGGCCCTGTAGCTTAAGGGCCGGGCTTAGCAAATTAGGGTATTTTTAAAATTTCACAGCCCTGGAGGGCCGGTTCTTTTAAGCCCGCCAGCCCTGAAGGGCCGGCCTTGATTCTCAGCTCTACCGAGATATAGAAAAAGCCCGTAATTAATTCTTCTGAAAACCAGAAGAAAGGACGCAAAGTGAATTGCGGCTAACGAGGGTGACGGGGACGGAGCCTTCTCTTTTGTCTTTATTGTGCTCTTATTGCATATAGAAACAACAAACACGGCGTAAACCCAAGCGACATTTTACTGGAGGAATTATATATATGTTCCATATAGAAAGAGCAACACAAGAAAATTATGTTATTACTTATTAATATTAATTGGAATGTGCGTGTGTGTGTGTGAGAGAGAGAGAGAGAGTTGTAAGGCTTATAAAAAACCACTCGGTGGTTGACACATCATAAAGGACACTGGGCTCAGAAGATATAGGTTAAGTTGGGTAGAAGGGATTGACTTTTGATGAAATGGGAATGGTAATAAGATGAGAATGGTCGTGGTAACGGGATTTGGAATAGAGCTTTTATTTTATGTTTGTTAGGAGGTAATATGTGGAAGGAATACGTGTATTTATTTTATTTATAATAAGAAATAAAATTAAAAGACTATAATACCCCCTAGTGTTTTAGAGTTGAAGACTCAACCTTATGCACTCTTTTTCTAATAAAAAAGACACCGCATGCTCATATACATGTTTTGAAATAAATACATTAAATTTTGCCTCATTTTACAATAAAAAATAAAAAAATAAATTAATATTTTAAAAATCAGAAACGGCATTCTATCGTATCCCAACAAATTTATGTATAAAAAGGTAATAAAAATCAATACTTCCTTAAAATTTATCCCAACAAATTATTAATAATTCCTTAAATTATAAATTTTGATTCAAAAATTTATCACATACTGGGTCATTAAAATTATAATTTTCTTAAAATTTAGTAATACATTTTGAAATTGATAACATATATGCATGTAAGATTAAAAGATAAGAAGCAACAGGTCTTACTATAATTTTCTGTAATATTAGTTCACGTAAGTAAGATAATCCATATCTTACTTCAAATAGTCATAAAAATATTCCTGTCTAAAATAAATTATTTTAAATATGTAATAAATATTCTTGTCTGAAACAGAATATTTCAAGTCTATAACAAAATATCCCTGTCTGAAACAAAACATTTTAAATCTGTAACATTATTGTAATATGGGTATTCTTGTCTTTTAAGCTTTTTAATTCCTGGACTCAAAGGCGTTACCAGGGGGAGAGGGTGGGATTATATAATCCCACCAATGTGGCATTATTCAGTACCTGGTAATCTTCAATCTCTCGTACCAAACATGAAAAAATCATCCAATCCCTCTTCCAATCCCATTCCCTCCCCCTCAATCTGTCTTACCAAACGTGGCCTTAGTGTATGTACTAGGAATGGCACAAGTTAACATGAGTTACCCCTGGGAAGGTGTCGTCCGGCCCATAGAGAAGTAGGGGTGAGCAACAAACCCATTACCCCCGCCAGCCCATCCATGACCCATGAAATTTTTGCCCATTTAAGCCCGCCCAATTAGCCCAAATAAGAAATTATAAACAGGCGGGCTTAAATGGACAGAGTAGCCCATTAAACGGTTGGGCTATGGGCAAGGTATTAGGCTGCCCATACCCGCCCGTTTAAGTTTTAATTTTTTAAAATATTTTTATTCTTTATTTAATTGATGATATTGTTTCCCATTCATTTTTTATCAAACCTTATGCTTGTCTAAGCTTTTATTTTATCCTTTAGGTGAAAGTTGGAACTTTCAAAGTTTATGAGACTTTATGATTAGTGACTACTTTTATGATTTTATCAGACTTTGATTGTTTGCGAATCTAAGTGAGATTGGGTGATTGAATATGATTGATGTTATTTCATATTTGATTTGCTATTTGGCATGCAAAATTTATTGACAGCTTCATAAGGTTACATATACAAAATAACTATACTGAAAAAAAAATTTAAAAAAAATAAATGGGTTACCCCCGTAACCCGGTTAGCCCAAACGGGCTACCCCGTAACCCATTTAATACGGGCTAAATAGGCTACTACCGGGTTATGGGTTAGCCCATGCCCATTTATGAATAAATCGGCGGGCTATGGGCTAACCTTCGGGTTAGCCCACCCCGCCCATTGCTCAGCCCTATAGAGAAGTGTAAGATATGATTGAAATAAAGCATACGAGTTACGCATAGGGCCCTCAATAAAAGATGATGCCTGACACGTGGCATACAGGCCGCGATTGATGATGAATCAATTCAAAGGAAATCCAAATTGATATGAACACAGCACCATTATGAGGCAATCACTGGCTCTCTGTGCTCAGTTTATAGCCAATATAAGAAGAAGACATGGCTTTGGATTATATAGTTGACATATAGTGATAATAGGGTTAGAGAGAGGGATCTTTATTTAGTGTTAATGGAGAAGAGGCAACAAGTGGTTCATTACATCACAGAGCCTTTATCTCTCTATCTGATATGTATTATGAAGGAGTTTTGGTTGAAGTGTACCAAGGGAACCTCCACGCAATATAACCGTGTAATGTGCCAGTGGAATGCATGGCATGGTGACTTATATGTGCCTTTATATATCTTTATTGGATACAATCATCGACGGCTACTTTAATTTTCAAGGGCCAACCTTGGCTCACTCATTTGCATAAAGCCTTCGAATGCTTATCCTCTGATTGTGAGTCATCTGTTTCTGCCATTATCTTCTTCCTCTTTCCCTCCTCCCCTTTTTCTCTTTTCACGATTGGCTTTTTTTTTTTAATTCAAAACATATGATTAGATGGAGTTCAAATCAACTTACGATTTTGATATAACTACCCAGCTCAAGTGCCTATTAATTAATTAGTGTGTGTGCGCGCGTCTGCGCGCGAAGTGTAAGGCCTATAAAAACCCCCTCGGTGGTTGACACATCATAAAGGACACTGGTGGCCCCAGAGAATTTAGTGTTAACAGTGGAGAGATGAAAATAAGAAAATGAAATCTAGAAAGCAGTGAATAAAAAAATCTCCAAAAAGTTGGGGCTAATTGGAAGAAGAATTTTAGAGGGAGGGCAAAGCAAACTAAAGGAAATGAAGGAGGTGGGGGCATGAGTTTTGTGTACCCCATAGCCTCCGAAAGCAACTTCTAGGAATTCAATCATCACTTAGAAGCTCTTACCTTTGTGGAGATGGGAGCTTTCATAAAAGCTTAAATATACACTTGTACTGTTTATACCAGGGGAGACTTTTCCAAGACGTAATAAAGTAAACAACAAAAAGTTCTTCCTTTTGTTAAAAAGTTTTCCAAGACTTTTCCAAGATGCAATTCCACATACATACACACACCCATGTCTATCCCATTGCCATGCCCCCCCCCCCCAAAGCTCCACTATATATATCCCTCATTTCTGTCATGTTTTATTCAGTCCCATAGGCAGCTAGAGAGAAACACAGAGTTCTCCCCAGATTCACCTGAGAAAAGCCTTCCTTCCTGAGAAAAGCCTTCCTTCTCTTCCTTCATTTCTCTAGGGAATTCTGATTGATTCCTAGCGCAGAGTTCTCCACAAGTTGTACATCCATACAAACAAGAGGGAGAAAGAGGCACAAGAGGTCATAGCCTTGAGCCTTCGCTGCAAGAGAGAGAGAGAGGGGGGAGAGAGAGAGAACTCAGTATCACTTCTTTTCCACACAAAGAGGGAGAGACATCATCTCCAAACACAATCTAACAGGCGCTTCACCAGCACCAGTTGGCTTTCATTTTCGGCCTCCTAGGTATATACATCTATTGACTATTGCACGTTTTTCCCTTATAACTTTACGTATTATATTCATCGTCGCTTCAGTTTATTAGTTTCACGTCCTCTTATATTCCTCGTCATCCATCTTCTTCTCTCTTCTTGTTATTCTTCTTCTCATACAGCATATAGTTAATTGCATGGCTTTTGTTATCTCAAATATAGCTTTTAAAGGGAAATAGATGTGATGGGCTTGAAGCATGCTGATTTTTGCTACGTACATATTGCTGGGAAATTTTATTGCTCAAAGACTTGTCATCCTGATATGTCTACAATGAAGCTGATCGATTTCTCTTGTCTTTATCGTGCTATTATTGTAGGCAACATCATCTCTTTCATGTTGGTTTCATGCAGGCAACATCACCACTTTTCAAAGTCGAAATCCTTAGTACTTTCTTTAGTTTAAAAGGGTAATTTAAATCATCCAACATGAAACCAAAATGAAGTTTCGGGACTTACATGGGAGCAAGGAACACCATGTAAGATTATGAGGGAAAAACGTGTAATAGTTAATGCATGTATATACCTAGGAGGCCGAAGATGAAAGCCAATTGGTGCTGGTGAAGGGCCATGTTAGATTGTGTTTGGAGATGATGTCTCCCGCTTTGTGTGGAAAAGAAGTGATACTGAGTTATCTCTCTCTCTCTCTCTCTCTCTCTCTCTCGCAGCGAAGGCTCAAGGCTATGACCTCTTGTGCCTCTTTCTCCCTCTTGTTTGTATGGATGTACAACTTGTGGAGAACTCTGCGGTAGGAATCAATCAGAATTCCCTAGAGAAATGAAGGAAGAGAAGGAAGGCTTTTCTCAGGTGAATCTGGGGAGAACTCTGTGTTTCTCTCTAGCTGCCTATGGGACTGAATAAAACATGACAGAAATGAGGGATATATATAGTGGACCTTTGGGGGGGGGGGCATGGAAATGGGATAGACATCGGTGTGTGTATGTGTGTGGTATTGCATGGACAATATTGAGACTAATGAATAAGTGATGATTGAATTCCTGGAAGTTGCTTCCGGAGGCTATGGGGTACACAAAACTCATGCCCCCATAATCGAAAATATATTAAATTGCCAACTCATCGCATTATTGAGGATGTCGCAGGCCGACATTCTACAGGGTGTATAAGAAGAAGACGACGGAAGGGTTTCAATCGTTGCCATGTATAGCAGCGCTCTTCAGTGCAATGCTATGGCTGTTCTATGCGTATGTGAAGCCGGGAGAGACTCTCCTTATCACCATCAATGCGTTCGATTGCGTGATCGAGACCATTAACCTTGCCATTTACATCACTTACTGTCCCAAGAAAGCTAGGGTCCGTCTCTCTCTCTCTCTCTCTCCCGCTCTCTCTCTCTCTTCATGTCTCTTTCTCAGTTCCCTCATCATGAGGTTCTGATTAATATATGATTGATCTCGCAGATGTCCACGTTAAGACTGATTCTTTTGATGAACTTTGCGGGATTTTGTGTTATTGTCCTCTTAACTCATTTGCTCGCCAAAGGACCTGCGGCTCGCGTCAAGCTTCTTGGATGGATCTGTGTGGTCTTCGCCACCAGTGTTTTTGCGGCCCCTCTAAGCATTATCGTGAGTATTATTTAATTATCCTGCTTTGAAATATGGTTTGTTACCTTATATATTATTTTTTTGAGATATTTATGAATTTTGAATTGTTCATTTCATTTTCAGAGGGTGGTCATCCGGACAAAGAGCGTAGAGTTCTTGCCCTTCCCTCTTTCGCTTCTCCTAACAATCAGCGCTGTTATGTGGCTCATGTATGGACTTGCCCTCAAGGACATCTATGTCACTGTCAGTTTCTAGAACTCTTGCATTTATTTTCTCTTTTGTTGAAGGATTTGGTTTGTATTCTTTAATTATTAGGATATTTCCCCCAAATTTTGTGGGTATAATAATAATGATGATGATGATAATACAAAAAAGTCGAGAAAATTCGAAAAAAATTTGGATGGTCAAATTAATCACATACCCTGCCTCCTGATTCATTTTGATTGTGTCTTGTCGTTTTCACAAAATATATAAAATAATAATCAGAATTTGGTTTTATGCGTGGACAGCTTCCCAACGTTGTAGGGCTATCGTTTGGGATCGTACAGATGGTTCTGTATGCAATGTACAGAAAGAACAAGCCTGTGAAAGACGATAAGCTCCCCGAACAGAAGGGCGAAGTAATGAATGAAAACAAAGAGGAAGCAACTAATGAGAACAAGAAGGTCGGTGAGGAAGAGAAACACGAAATGGTAACCATCGAGATCGGAGAACAGAAGAAAGACGAAGAAGAAAAGCTGCAAGAAAAGGAACAAATAGAACAAGAGCAACCTCAAAACAAGCAAGACCAAACAAAGGTTAACGACGTCGACGACAAAGCCAGACCAGCGGTGGAACCCTCCTTTATTGAAATACCACCACAGCAGATGGTGGCTTGCGAAGTTTGAGGAGAGAACAGGACACATATACGCGCTCGCGTGTGTTTTCAGGAATCCTTTCCTCTCTCTCTCACTCTGAGATTGTCTCTCTGCGACCGCCGCACCGCATGGGCTCTTGAATTTTCGTGTAAAATTGTTAAAGCCTCATGATTAGTGGGGAGGCCACAGATGATATAGTTAATTAATATGGTTCCATTTTTATCTTCACCTGTTACTTTTCATCTTGTAGGATTTAATTTTCTATGACACTACGTAATAGTCGCTTATATATGTAAAAGCATGTTATATTGTTGATAGCAGCCTACATCGCAGGCGCCGAGTCTGCATGGCAGAGATATGATTCTGATTTATGTTGAATACAATTCCACCTTTTCCTTCTTTATGTTGTTTTGATAAAGGGATTTTTGGTGTTTTTTGATCAGATCCCTTGATTGTAGGAGTGGTTGGTTGAGGTTTGTTCGTATCTCTAATTTCTTTCCGCCAGTGGTGACTCTACTTTCAAAAGTACCACTAATTATTATTTATCTGTTTTTCAACCCTAATGATCTTAAGATTTCGTCACCTAATTATAGTGCACTTCTCTTGCCCATTCAATGCATACTGATAAACGCACTGGAATTAATTTTTTACTCTTTTTTTAGTGCAGATTGAGCTCTGTGAATCACATTAGACCCGCCGGCTAGCTGATTTGATCAAAACATATGTATTGCAAAAATTCTTCCAACAATATAATATTTTCTTTTACATAAAATTTAAATTCAAGGCCTTGTTTCAGAGAAAAATTAAATGCTCAACTGCTCGAACTAATTAATGCTGGTGCTTCAGCTCTTCTTTACGCTTTGTTTTTTTTTGGGTCAAATTCTATTATTTAACCTCTCCTTCTATTCACGACTAAGGAGTGGTTAAGAGTTTGATTTTTAATCTGTCTCGAGCAAACCTCATTGAAAAGGGTGGTCATTTACTTTCATCGCAAGATGTACTTTTAAAAATGTAAATCCTTGACAAAATCTACTCTTATTGTTTCACCAAAATTAAAACAACGCAAGATTTACTGGTTATTACTTATTAGTCATTGTCCTCCTACTTGTTAAATTAACTAAGTTTATCCTTTTAATTTTTTATTTCCTTAATTTCTGCCTACCAAGCTCCTTTAGAGGTGTTGATTGTATAACTAAGATTGATCGAAGCCCACTCACTAAGTATTATTAATGGATCCTTTTTTTTTTTTTTTGCTTACTTAAGTATATATCATTCTTTAAATAATAGACATCCCTAAAATAATCAAGCTTTATAACCTGCTGAGTGTTGAGCTTACGTCCCCAAACAGTAATTATTGAAATTAATTATTCATGAATTGACTTATCACGATATCATTTCCACTTATTTCAGAAAGATATGCGAATTATAAACTCCAATGACATGCAAACTTGCAATTGAAGTCCTTCCACTTGATGAAGTATTTTCGTCAACTCATCAAAAGAAAAAATCAAAACTTTTTTTAAAAAAAATTGTTTACATGTATATCCTTCTGTTATAACAAATATTATTCAAGACATAGCCGTATATTAAATGTGAGCATCACTTAAAATAGGATTTGAACTTTGATACATTACATGGTGATAAAATAGTTCTTTCCACTATATATAATTTTTATTAGTAATGAAAATCGTGTCCTCCTACGTTTGGAGACATTAAAATCGCAAGTCGGCTCCACATGAATATGCCTTTTGACATGATTTAGTATCAAAAACAGAGGGACAAAGGACTCTTAGTCTTATCGCTTTGTATTGCCCCTTTGCACAAAACAGAAAAGCGAGCAACATCGTCATATTTAAAGAAAAATAATAAATAAATTATTGAAAATTATTCCATGCATGAGCACTCATATATAAAATATCATATCCTTTCCTTCCAAAAAAAGCCACACACACTTGAAATAATTGAAGGGACGCTCTTTTTCTTTACTTTTTACGTCATGGACACGGTGTTTTAAGAATTAGATAGAGACTATTATGATTTGTTTATTGCGCAATATATGAGAGAACATCAGGGAAAAAAAAAAATCATCATTATGTGAACCTTTTTCCTCTGAAAGCTTTTCTGGGTCTATCCGGAGCCCCCATCACCGCGTGTCCTTTCGGCGTTGCAAAAGATCATACGCATCCACATATTTTTCTATGTGTAGGGAATAAGATATTTATTCAAGTGAATTTCATATTCCATACTTTTACATTAAAAAAGGAGGATGATAAAATTTTAAATTTTTTTTATATGTGAAATCAAATTGTAAAACTGTTCACTATTGCAAAGTAATAAAATAATGAATCTAAAACTATTTAATTAAATAACCATCCGTATATATAATTTACCATGTTCTTGTCATATTATAATAAGATTATGGACATGCACTTTAAATAAAATTTGAGACAAGTCACACTATTTATAGTTTATGAATATTACGGATTACTATTAACTTTATGTTATAAATGGATGTACATGGATGTATAAATATTATATATATATATATATATATATATATTAGTATCGGTTAATCTAACTAGAAAAGTTGGTATTTGTAACTTTCTCAGAATATACAATTGGTAATCTGGATAAGGCACCTATATGTTGGCAAGATGCACTTTCTTCATAATGGAATGATGAATATATAAATGCTTAATATTTGATGCGAGTACAGCGTGGATTTTTTAATTTATTTGCATAAAAGTGAATCCACACAACATATTTGGAAAGAGATTAAAAAAAAACCCAACAAACAGAGAGAAGTCTAAAAATGAAATGACTAAGAATTGACAATTGACACGGTAAGGAAGTATAGAATATATTGAATATCTCAAAAAGATTGATTTTTATGAACTGCTCATTCAATTAATTTAATAATCTCAAATCAAATAAGTGGTATTTTGCTTAGACCAATAAATAGAGATGAAGTTATAGTTAAAGCTGCTAGTAGAAAACTGAAATAACTAGTTATAGTGGGCAAGAAGAGGCTAAATGAAATATGTTCTTTTTATACATATGTTT